TGCAAGGACAAGTCGTCGACCCCGAAGTGCAAGAAACTCAAGACCAAGGATGAGTGCAAGGCGAACAAGAAGACGTGCAAGTGGGCGAAGGACAAGTGCAAGGACAAGCCGTCCAAGTCCAAGACCCCGAAGTGCAAGAAACTCAAGACGGAGGATGAGTGCAAGGCGAACAAGAAGACGTGCAAGTGGGCGAAGGACAAGTGCAAGGACAAGCCGTACAAGTCGTCGACCCCGAAGTGCAAGAAACTCAAGACCAAGGATGAGTGCAAGGCGAACAAGAAGACGTGCAAGTGGAAGGGCGACAAGTGCAAGGACAAGTAGACCTCCGCCGCGGATGCGCGCGCGCGTGCCGCGTGCCGTCGACGGCGCGAGGCTACGGACCACGGCGATGACAAGCTATACCGCCGGCGCTACCCCCCCCGCTACTACTGCGATAAGAGCGCGTACCTAAGCCATGTGCTCCCGAAGGCCTCCTCGAACTGGAGGCTACTCGGCCTGTTGAAATGCCTCGCGAAGAAGTAAAAAACTTCCTTTCCCTCCTCGAAGCACCTTATGGGCCAGTGCCAACAGCGTCTGGCCCGTTCCCGAGTTCCTCCGAATCAAATCTCCCAGTTTTTGTCTTATCATGTCTCTCTCGCCCCAAGATGCGCGCTCCCAAAGTTGGGCAGCCCACGCCGCGATGCCCGCGGAGCGCGCCCCGATTGATGGTTTCGCTCCTTCTGCCATGGGAGACACGGCGCATATCCGCAGTTTGTTGTATGGCTGACGCCTCCTGGTCCTCGAGCGAGGAGGATTCTGAGGATAAAAACTTCTAGTAGGACTAATATCATGAGCAGCTGTTTGTGTCGAAAACAAAGTGCCTTCAACCAAACTTCAACACCAAAGTCGAGTCGGCTGATTTTCGGACGAGCGTCTTCCCCTTGTCGAGTGCCCCACGGAGAGCACAAGAACGCGGAAAACCTTCGAGGTCGCTCACGTTGAAGTGACGTTGAAGATTCGAACGCAGGTCGTCGCTCGAGCCGCTACGCATCGATGAACCGCGGGGGGGGGAGCGACGGCCTACGCGAGCTGCTAACGCCGCCCATGCCCAAGCCCGGCTGCTGGCGCATGGAGTGCACGACCGAGGGCTCCCGCTCTTGCAACTTCTTCGAAAGCGGCAATTGGATCGACGGCGCGTGCCGGTCCCGACGTCGACGTGGTGCCTTCGCCGAAGCCCACCTTCACCGTCGGCTTCCTCAACCGCGTGACCGAAGCCCTCACGTCGTTCTCCTTCGAGGACATCGGTTCTCTTGCCTCCCAGCTCGAGGGGGCCGCGCCGGCGGCAAAGGCGTTGGCCGAGAACCTCATCCTTTGGATCCAGGATCCGTTCCAGGCCAAGACCATCAAGGCCGAGAAGGAGGCCAAGGCCCTCCAGGCCGACAACGAGGACCTGCGGTCCAAGAACCAGGACCTGCGCGAGCGCCTCGCGGCGGTAGAGGCGAACCTCGAGCTCGCGACGTCGTCGCTCGCCGCCAAGGCCAAGAAGTTCGTCACGAACCTCTTCTTCAAGGAGTCGCCGACGGCGAAGGAGGCCGCTCCGGTTCCCGAGGACAAGGACCCGCGCGCGCAGAACAAGGACCTGCGCGCCGAGAACGAAGACCTGCGCGAGCGCCTCGCGGCGGCGGAGGCCAGCCTCGAGCTCGCGACGTCGGCGGAGTCGCCCGCGAAGGCCTTCGTCAAGCGCCTCTGGTTCAAGGAGCCGTCGAACGCGTCCGAGGTCGAGGCCCTGCGCGAGCAACTCGCGGCGGCCGAGGCGCGCGCCGCGGCGGAACTCGCGGCGGCGGAGGCGCGCGCCGCGGCGGCCGAAGCGAGCCTTGCGGCCTCGGAGTCGCGCGCGGTGGCGGCGGAGTCGCGCGCCTCAGTGGCTAAAGCCGGCCTCGCGGCGTCGACGACCCTAGTCAAGGAGTCCGCGCAAGAGATCGAGGACCTGCGCGAGCGCAACGCGGCCTTGGAGGAAGACGTCGTGGCGCTCCACGCGTCGTCGTCGTTCGAGGACTCCACGGCCAAGGGAGCCGTGCAGCCCCGTCGCCTCCAGAGTGCTAGCGGCTCTGCGCCGATCTTCGGCAAGTGCTATGATCCCGCGGCGCTGACGTACCTGCGAGTTCTCCCCGCGTCCCCGACGCCCGGCGCGCCGCGCGACCGCCCCTCGGCGTCGCAGGAGCTTCGGCTACAACCAGATCACCGGCTCGATCCCGCCCGAGATCGGCCAGCTCGCGGCGCTGACGTACCTGCGAGTTCTCCCCGCGTCCCCGACGCCCGGCGCGCCGCGCGACCGCCCCTCGGCGTCGCAGGGGCCTCAACAGCAACAAGATCACCGGCTCGATCCCGACCGAGATCGGCCAGCTCACGAAGCTCGAGTACCTGCGAGTTCCACCGCGTCCCAGACGCCCGGATCGCCCCGCGACCGCGCCTCGGCGTCGCAGGGACCTCCGCAACAACCAGATCGACGGCCCGATCCCGACCGAGATGGGCCAGCTCACGGAGCTGAAGTTCCCGCGAGTTCTCCCCCCGTCCCCGACGCCCGGCGCGCCGCGCGACCGCCCCTCGGCGTCGCAGGTGGCTCGACAACAACAAGATCACCGGCACGATCCCGCCCGAGATCGGCCAGCTCACGAAGCTGGATTACCTGCGAGTTCTCCCCGCGTCCCCGACGCCCGGCGCGCCGCGCGACCGCCCCTCGGCGTCGCAGGTGGCTCGGCTCCAACCAGATCACCGGCCCGATCCCGCCCGAGATCGGCCAGCTCACGGCGCTGCAGTACCTGCGAGTTCCCCCCGCGTCCCCAAAGCCCGGCGCGCCCCGCAACCGCCCCTCGGTGTCGCAGGAGCCTCGAGAACAACAACAAGATCTCCGGCACGTTCCCCCCCGAGCTTTGCGGCGTCGCGACTTGCCAGGCCAACGCTGGCAACGACCTCGTCGCGCCGTGCGGCTCGACGGGCTGCTGCGATCTGGGGGTCGGTGCAGCGTGTACCGTGACGACGCCCAAGCCCACGCTTCTGCTCACGACGCCCAAGCCCACGACGCCCGAGACCACGCCCGAGCCCACGGCCAAGCCCACGGCGCCCGAGCCCACGACGCCCGCGACCACGCCCGCGTCCACTGTCAAGTCCTGCGCCGACGAGGACGACGAATCCGACTACCGCGGCACAATCTCCGAGACCAAAACCGGAGCCACGTGTCAGAAGTGGACGGCTCAGTCGCCGCACAGCCATGTCGTCACGCCCGAAGCAAGGCCGGACAAGGGCCTCGGCGACCACAACTACTGCCGCAACCCCAGCACGAATCAGCCCCACGCCTGGTGCTAAACGCGGAGGGTCAGAGCGGCGCCGGCGGAACGGACCGCTGGGACTTCTGCTCCATCCCCAAGTGTTCCTCGAACAACAACGGCGGCACGTCCGCGTCACTCGCCATCATCATCCCCGTCGTCGTCGCGGCCGTCCTCCTCCTCGCGGCCGTCCTCTTCCTCGTCCGCAAGCGCGTCGTCGCCGCGCGCCAGCACCACCGCGAGAGCATGCCTACCGTCGGCGGTGAGGACGAGGACCAGGCCGAGGCCTAAAGAAGAAGCAAGCACGCGGGCGAAGGTCGCAAGGACCCCCGCCCGCCGAGGCCCGCGTCGGGCGCCAGCCCCCGCCAAGCGCCTCCACCGTCCGTGCACCGAAGATGCTGCGCCGCGCCACGCCCATCCGCCCGCCCCCCCCCACCCGCCGAGCCTCGCTCCGACCGCCCGCGTCGCGAACGCCGCCGCTCCTCTTCGGAGGGCGCGGCGGCCGATCGCTTTGATGATGGGAGAGTTCCCCTCCAAAATCGACGCGGCCTCGTCATCGAGCGCGGCTCCGGGCGCCGCCCGACCCGTCCGCCCCCCTGCCTGCCTGATCCCCCCGCGCCCTGTGTATAGACCTTCGGTATACGGGCGCGGTACTCCGCCCGCTCAGGCCCCGCACCGGTCCGCCGCCGCGC